GAAAGTCGCACCATGTGCATGGAAAAGCTCATTTCTGTACAGCGTAACACATACAGCAACACCAAACTCCGATGAGACAGGAGTTTCAAGACGAACGGTGCGCTTTTTTTTTCTTGCAAAATGACATCAGTGATTGATGTACCTCGTCACCCACTCTGCAGCAGGTGTCTCTCAAGTGACTGATTGATTTTGGAAAAACCAGGGGAGCCTAAAAAACCTCAGAATTCACTGGACATTGTGTTGAAGCTACCGAAAAACATATTTTTGTGTGGCCTACTTTTATTATAAGATAGGATATGGAAAAGAAAAAAAAAAAACAGGAGCAAACATATTTCTCAACTGCAAAATGCCAGTGATTGCACATATCAATGAGAAACTGCAGTGTGAACATGTAAAATATCATTCAGCCAAGAGAAAAACTGGTTGGCTTAAATACTTTGAATGTAATAATGTAGTTCCTTTTCGGTGCTTTGAAGCTTACCTGGAACACTTTAAAAGAGAGAAAAAAAAAGGAAAAATCAATAGCATAACTTATTTGCCTTTACTACCTTCATTTGAAAGGAGAAGTTGAAATGTGTTAAAGCCATTTGAAAATCACTTTCTTGTTTTCAAGTTCACATTAATTAAAAGTTTAAGCTCTGCTTCATGGATTTAAAATCAGTAAGTGAGAAACTATGTAGTTAGTCTTGTATTACATTTGATAGGTTCAATTAAATTAGCAAGGCTTTGTGTGGTAACAGTATTGACAAATGGGCTACTACCAGCCTATTGAAATTATGCAAAGAGAGTGGGTGGCTTTCAAATGTCATATTCATTCATAGACTTTTCATTACTGATTTCACTACTGAAATCTTGGAATCCTTTTGTCATATCTCTTTTTTAATACTGCAGTACCCAAAATAAATACGACCAAGTGAACTAATTTCAGACTAGAACTGAACTGAATGCATTGACCCCGGACAAAAAAATACAATGCTTTTGCCACACTGAAGTATTTAAAGTAAATGCTTTACATAATGTATTGGCTTTTGGTATGTGACTGAACACAACAATGGTATTGACACTGAAAAAAATAAATCAGATGCTGTAGCTAAATTAATTGATGTCTGCAAGACCATGCAATATTCTTGTAATCTAATAAATTACAACTTGTTGGTGGAATATGACTTTTGTTATCATGGAAGAAGTCATCAGTTCTGCTAATTGACAAATAGTCGCAATGTGGGCAAATTAGTGATCTGAAAATCAGACTGACTATACTAAATGCATCTTTGAAAGGTTCCTCCCTCAACGTAGAATTTGATATTTGCTTATGTGCACTCATAGAAACTATAGCAGGATAATCCTTTTTGAGGAACATTTTCGGGTGCCTGAAAAGTTTGTGTTGAACCAGTTGTAAACATGTGAGGTACTGTCCACTGAATTGTGAAGAATCAGTGATTTTAGGGATTTCTTGTGATCCTTTTTAATCCTCTCATTTTCATTGTCATACCTTTTAAAGCCATGAATATTGTTTTAATGAAGATAAACAATGCCTTTTTTCAGTACTTTCATCTCATGTTATATGAATTGTAATAATAAATTATTATATTGTAAATTTTAAATTGTAAAAAAAAAAGACATATGTATTATTATGTGGCTTTGATTGTCTTTTTCTGAAGAATGTGAAATATTAAAAATGTATATAAAATCAGAAAACTTTTCTTTCATCACTACAATGAAATTCACAGTATAAAAATCAGTCTTACTTGATCAGGTGTGAAATCTTTATTTGAAACAATGTTAACATCACAAGTTGCACATATTTACTAATTTTCTGTGACGCTTCCATGAATATTGTTTGTTATTTTTCACCTTTTCCTGTAAAGACAGCAAAAGTTCCGATTCCACATTGACTTACGGTCAGAAAGATTGTTATACGAGGTTGAAAAGCAAACTTAAATCAACATTTTAAGTCGCACTTTTATGTTGAGGAAAAAAATGCTATTGAATCAACATTGTATTAGGGTAATGTTTTCAAGATTTAAATACTTACATTTCATCAATTCAGTGTAACTGTTCTTTCAAACTATTTTAAAGGGAACTGGGAAACGACCACTTTTATAACATATAAAGCGTTTCTTAGCTGTGATTCATGCAACATTTTTGATTTTAGGTGACAAAGAAAATAAAAAAAATCATGATGTATTGGTTAAAACATCTAATAGTTGCTTTTGGAGGAAAATGGTAAAGAGCGGGTAGAGTAAAGCCCTATATTCAACTTCTCCAACTGCTAAACGTTATGTGGTTATGGAAAATTCTAGATCAACTAAAAGCAGCATTATTGTCTTGGCAAATTGTTCCATTGATTGTATTTGTTCTTATATTTAAAGGTGATCTGTCGGGGAACAAGCAAACAATAGGTGACAAAATCAGCTATGTTTGCTATAAGCGACAAACCTTTTTAAAGCCCTAAACTCAAACTTACTGCAGTTGACTGTATTATTGAATTTTACCTTTGCTGGTTGTGGTCAAACTAGTAAAATTATACATGATTTGTTTTATAGTTAATACTTATACAAGCTAAGCAATACAAATAGATGATGTTCTAATAATAATAAAAAAAAAGATTTATCAGGTTAATTTGACTTCAAGATTTTAAGAGAGCTAAATATCTACAAAGCAAACTTTTTAAATGTGTGCCTTATTAGGGCTGCACTGCAATGCAAAAAGATGTTGCATCTGCCATTCAGCAATTCAAAGAGGCTGAAAGAAAGTGGAGGGACCTCAAGTACAAGAAGTATTACTGAGATACTGCATTCCACTCACTGTTTAATTTGCAAGACATGCTGTGATATTAGATTTCACTTTATATGTTTTATCTGTAAGTATAGTTTCATAAATATTCCAAGACAAATTTAACCATTTTGTTCGTAAATATTATGTCAATTTCAATTGCGTCTACTTGGCATTTCCTTATTGTTGACTCAACATTTTTCTAATTTAATTTTTCTAAATGAAGGCACATTTTGTCTGGAACCTTATTTACATGTTAAGAACAATATCATGTTGTACAAAAGAAAATGTCATTAAATTCTCTGGTTTCTGGTTGTCAATATAACAACTAAAAATTCTTAAAATTCAGTCTACAGCAAAGACACAATAACACTCACACTGCCATTGCACAACTAAAAATACCTGATTGAATAATTGTCGCAGTGTGCTAGGTAATAGTCCATTTGATACTTCGGTACTGATAGCCGCACACTTCCTTGTTTAATCTTTACTGATGTCTTGTGGTGTGTTTACGTCATATCAGAAGAAACCAAAGAATGAGATGTTGTTTGCCACAACTTGAAAATGTTAACACATGTTGGAACACCCACACCCAAAGCCAATTGTATTCATGACTTCAAAATCAATTAACTGCACTACATATCATTCACTTTTGATAAATATTAAAACATTTGTTCAGCATACATCAAAACAAATGTTTCAATATCTGTTAAATAAGTGTGATTCTTGTTATTCTACAAACTTTCTGTGGTATATGGAAAATGCTGAATCTTGCAAAAGCTTTCCACATGTCCTACTGTATGCATTCCACTGGGGGGGTTGATGTTTTTCCATTTTCCACGATAGCCATGCTAGCGCCTCTGTTGGACTCAGTGGCAATGTTGGTCCACTGTTGAGTTGAAATATCTCAATATCTACTGGGTGGATTGGCATTACACATACATTGTTTTTAATTGTTAAGAAACACAGTAATTGTTGGATCCATACAACTTGGGTACATAAAGCACCATCATCATGTCAGATTTAACTTTGTCCCGTGCTGGGTTCATGACCATGTAAAACTAATGACATTCCCATTAGCCTCAACTGTACTTTTTGTTTAGTGCTAATCAGAAAAAGTTAGCATGCTCATGTGCTGCACTATGATGGTAGACATAACCTGCTAAACATCTACATGTTAGCATTCTCATCATGAGCATGTTACTATGCTGATGTTAGCATTTAGCACAACCTCACAGAGCCCTTAGCATGACTGCATGACTCTGAGGCTTGTTTGGAATTCTTATCCTGATATCGGCAACATGTCAAGTCATGCATAATGAGAAATTTGCACGTAGGTATGTTTCATTGCAGTTTAATTGTCTGTGTTTATCATTGTTAACATAGCAGCTCAGGTCATCAACGCTGACATGTAGCAACAGAGAATAATGTTGTTAACTGCAATGATCTGTCTTGTTAAGAGCTCAAACTTAATCTGCTTTAGATGTGGTGCACATGACATGCGTCCAGCCTGAACTGACCTTGCTGGAGAAAAGCCCCTGGGGTATAAACCCTAGACCAACATTGCACAACATCACAGCAATATTTGGATTCAGAATTAGTTAGCAAGATGGTGAAATGAGATGAAAATAACTGTAATCAGATATCAGCTTAGCAATTGCAGTGCAATGCTGTTATTTCCCAGGTTTTACCCAACATACCACATGATCCAGCTGAAAAATATTTACATTGAGCTGGAAAGGGGGGGAAATCAGTCACTGAACTAACAGACAGCTATCCTCTATGAATTACTCTAATTTATATCATTAACTGAAGGTGGCTATGCCTCTCTGCATGTGAGCTGCTGGGAAGCATTTTCTTTTTCCATCTCCCTCAACAAACTATTCCTTTAAGCTCAGATCCAGTTTCTTTCCAGTCATGCAACATTAACTGCACTTTAAAAATCAGTAGCTTGATGTTCATTCTCACAAATTAGGCCATTAACGTCATTGGTGTGCCAGGAACAGCACTCACATTTTGATGCCAATGTATCAATGAAAGCTTAAAGAGTGAGTTCCTCTTTTATAACCACCTCAGCCCTTTTTTTTGTTTTGAAAAGGATCACTATGGATCTCTGGTACCTCGATGACTTCCAGAAAAGTTAAAAACCTGGAACACTTTTGCAGGATGTTTTCAGCAATGAAGAAAAAAAAACAATCAAAAAGAAGTGACCACACTCCTCCAGCTTATGTTCACTTTAACCAGTGTTTTATTTCTACACAATAAATGACAGCAAAATGAACATGATACTCATCTTTATGACTCTTCCTTATGAAAATATAGTACACATCAGACATGTTTTGCCATGTACCAGAGCACCAAAAATATATATAATTGCAACTGTGAAAACAGAGAGAAACATCAACTGAAACATAAAAGTCCAATATGTTGTATATGTGCCTGAAAAAGTGCATACTGTGTAAGAACCAAAGAGAGAGGAGGCCATCAGAGGGTGGGAGGGACTACTGAGTCTGATGGCTACCTTTACAGTGTTGGTGAAATTCTCAGCAAACACAAAGGCATTGGGATAAGACTCAACAATATACAGTATGGAGCGAGGGGGAAAAAAATGAAAGCTGGTGGCTGGTGACAGACAAATTTAAAATTAACTTTTAAATGCATAACAAAGATCAATCAAGTTTGATTATGTGGATCAATTTAAACAGACTCCTAAGACCAGAAATGACCATTATGATTTTATTCATCTTGACAACAAATAAATAATTTATGACTCAATGGATAAATTCATGGTTTAGACAACTGACAACAGTGCTTGTACTAAGCCATTATGAACAAATAAATGCTGACAGCAAGTGGTGTGGTAAAGCATCACAGGTCTTTTTTTTTTTTTTTCCTTTCTTCTGTCTTGCAGGTGATACTTTGACACAATGCACAACATATTCACGGTTCATCTCTTTGTATAATAGTTATGATAAAAATCAATCCAAGAGCTACTCCCAAACAGTTAGTACATGGTTTGCAAATACAATCATCATATAATATTATTATTTACATCTTAAAATATATTTGTTGAGCAATCGGGTACGAAACATCGCAGTAATACCACTAGATATCCATATAATATGTAAATACACTTTTTTTGTACTTCCCACTTAGAAAAAAAGGACAATTCACCTTTTTTTATTTATTGAGGGATTAGGAAATAGACATAAGTGGACCATTCAATAACCAGAGGCCTGTGAGAGGTACTTTATGTGTTACAATACACAAAGAAAAGTCTTACAACAAGATGGCACATCAGTATTTTTCTCCACAATGATCTGAGCAAAAATATTAGGGCTTCAGAGACTCTTTCTTATTCTCCCCATCGCTTTGTAATGAGTTAGACACTACAAAGTTTCTGCCATTTTTAGACGAGCAATACAACAACCAGGTGTTAAATTAGAAACAAAGGAGCGACTGTTGGTGGAAAATGTGGAGAGGTATCAAAGCTTGTCAAAAAAAGACTGCTACACAAATCATATTATGTGATAAGCATAGGCGCTAGGTGAGGAGAACTGTGTTCCTTCAGCCTAACTTCAAAAGGCTCTGTAAGCTGGGCAAACATCCTCTCGCATTTTCACAGGGCCAGCTTGACCCTGGCAGCCCTGTGCAGGCATACCTGACAGTGACAGATGAGGCAGTGTGTCGAGGAGTGGGGAGGTGGAGGTAGGAGGGGTGAGGGAGGGGGTGGTGGGAGTCCCAGAGAGGGATGGCTGCCACCCCCGGGAGAAACTCTGACTCATTGGCCTCGGCTTGTTGCCAGTCAGCGCTGGCCACCCCTGGCCCAGGGGCAGCCTCTGTGAGTACACATTTTCACACCTGGACAAATAGCAAGACAGGCCAGAAAAAGCAGCCCACCCATCCCTACCTCTCTCCCTGCCCACCTTCTACTTTTCCCCCGATCCAAGAACACTCTATCTGGGGCACCATCGGCTGCCTTCTGACCTCCAGTCCTTCTTTTCATTAATTTCAGATCCCTCTCTTTGCCACTTGTCCATTTTCTCCTGCCCTCAGCTGGCTGTGTACATATATTCCTTGTGCCTTACGCTGGTCTCTCAAAACATTATTTGCTATATGGATTTATGTACTTGACCATTATATACTTGGTTCTCTTTCACACCTTCTTCTACGTATGGCTAATGTGTGCATTTAAAAAAATAATAAGCAAATAAAGAAAAAAAAATAAACTTTACATTCTGGTTTTAAAGGAAAACAAAAAGTTCCACTGCACTCAGTAACATTTGAACATGTGGTGAATCCTCATTGGATGCAAGCAGTGTCCATCTACACTTAATGACCAATGAGACAAGTTCTTGTGTGGTTGTGGGCCTGAAGTGTACTGTATGTCTGATCAATGCTTGACAGCACTGATCACAACAGAGTGTGAAGACAAAATGACAGTTTTGACTCACAACCAATAATGTTTTTGTTATAAGAACAATGTAAAAAATAACTTACATGGACATTAAATATAACTTAAAAAAGTATAACACTCTCAATAAATAGTTCTACTATTTACACCATTGTTATGAGACGCAAAAATGTCACTAAAATACCAAAAATATAGAAGCAGCAAACATTACAGGCATGAGGTACAGCAAGGGATCCTGTGATGACTACAGTAGAGAGGTGATGTCCTCATCCAATGCGTAATCTTATACTTCCTTCCATGAATATCTTTGTTAGCTATGGCTTATGGGTACCTTCTCCAATATTAAGAATATAATTTTTCAAGTTGACATGATGTCACATTCTGTAGCCGTTCTGATAGTTTGTTTTGGTATCCAGACATTGACTCATGATACAAGTAATTGTTGAGGCTGATAGTTCTAAGTTAGTATGTGGAAGCAACAACAGGTTATGTTAACTCTTTTATAGAATGAAGGGAAGGATTCATCCATTCAAACGGCTAGAATGGCTTTCCAGTGACCTCAATGGCAGATGATGAACCACTGTACTGCATGTCATTGGCATAGTGTAGTGATTGCAGATCAGTCTCTCCCCACTGGTAACTGTTCTATGTAAAGCAGCAGTATCTGGAGTACTAATATTACGTATAATTTGATAATATCAACATAATACAAGTTTTTTTTTTTTACCAGGGCTATATTTTTTTTTCATATAAAGTGTTAAATGCAATCTTTGAAGATGATGTAGACTTTACAATGTCCTTACAAAGTTTCATATTTCATAAAAGTTACAAAGTCTTTCAAGAGTCCCTTTTTTTTCCTTCATTTACGCTTTTCCTTCCCCTTTGACATCTCTTGTCTGCCAAAATGTACACCTTAAACTAAGATGATATATTACACACACATCAGGGCAAAACAAAAGACAAACAAATGTGCAGTCTAGTTAGACCTTCAATATGTTACCATTTCTAATGTATTGATGTGTACCCTTTTTTTGGTTTGGGGGGGGCTGTATGGATGATGGATATATGGTTCATAGTGACAATACCTCCCTACATCATTGATAACATCGAATGCAAAGTCAGTATAGGTTCCAGAGGAGTATGGCCAGATACAAATAAAACAAATGGCAGGAAAGCTAATAGCAACACAGGGAGTCAAACGACCTAATATCATACAGTTTGTTTCAGATCACCATTCTGACAATAGCAGCTTCTAAACATTTTTGAAAGATATACTTTATCTTCTTACATGGAAACTAAAAGTGCAGTAACTGAGGTCAATAATACAAACACTGATTAAATATGACATTTTGTAAAAATGAAGTACATGAAAACAAAAAACCTAAAAACATTTTTCAACACTCCTGTCCATAAAGAACATATAGTAATATTTACATGATTTTTTTTTAGGTTTTTCTTCGTATTTGGTGGAAAATAATACCTTCTCACTTTCTCTGCATGTTGTGGTATTGTCTTAGTTCTTCACTAACATTGGTTTGAAAATGACATGAAATTGGTCTTACATTGCCACTTGTACAGTGTGTTGTGTACAATGATTTATGAGAATGATCTGGAATGCTATAGCAGCCTAATATGAGTCAGAGGGACTGTGCCATTGGCCCAAATGAAATGAAAAGGCATAATCATGCTGATTGTAACCATGACTATGGTTGCAGCCAAATAAGAGCAGCAAAGTTTGGACCAATATGCCAAGTAGCCTTCTTTATCAAATGTGCATGAGAAAAAACTAGTGTATGTGTGTCTTGAATGAAGAGTAACAAAATACAAAGCTACTGTAGCAGCCATATAATCTACAGAAGTTAATTGGTGGGGACGGACACCCAAGTTCACAATACTGAAAAGTGCTGATCAGAGCAACCAAGTGCACTTTTTACTGCAGAGACAAATTAAATTAATTAAAATTAAATTAATCACTTAAACACAAGACCCAGTAGAGAATCTTAGGGACCTTTGATCATATTGTGACTGCAAATGCTGTGTTGACATATACATCCAAATGTCATTTTCATGTACAACGTTGTTGCCTGCAGAGCTACAGCTGAGAGTCCAATACTACCAGGAGGGGAGAGAATGAGAGATATGTGTGTATGCATTCGTTCTTTCGTGTGTGTGTGTGTGTGTGTGTGTGTGTGTGTGTGTGTGTGTGTGTGTGTTTCTGTGTGTGCGTGTGTGTGTGTGTGTCAGATGTGGTCTCCTTCCATCTACACTCATTTCACTAAGAGCCATGGCCTTTATCCATCCTGTACTCTTGTGTGACTGTGCTATGCAGAACTGTGCGATCAAAAAAGCCACAGACTCCTGACAAGCATTGACTACATTCTGAACAGGGCCGGGATAATTTTACTTTCAGTTTAAACATTTTGAATCAGTGCTTGAGGTAACAAAGTTCTTATCAAGCGCCATGAGGGAGGAGTTCTTACTGAAACTAAAATCAACCCAACCCGAAGTGAGGTGTTATTGATGACATTCTTTAAGTCGTGATCAATGTATGTAGTATTTTTCTTGGGCAGGTTAAACGGGAATGACAAGTGAGGTTCTGGGTTTTTTTTTAAAGTTCTTAGTGCATTTCATACGTGGTGCTGTCAACATTTGTTCTCTAAAAGTATTATGGACCAACATGCAAGCGTGAATGAATGCTATAAAGAGGTACTGTAAGCAGCAAGGCAGACAAAGCTGTCTAACCCTATTAGATATCATGACGTGAAGATGGCAAGTAGCAGCAAACACAGTAGCAGAAGCCATGCTAAAAATGTTTAAATTATGCATTCAGGATTTTGCTCTAAGTATAAAATTGTCTTAGGAAATTGTGTCTGTGGTTGGTCAACAATTAGTCGACATTGTTTGTGTGTGTTTGTGCATTTTATTTTGGCTTTTGTGTTGAATGTGTGGCTTGAAACTTAACAATATGGCTGTCTCATTCCCCACCAAGCTAGGAATAACCTGTATACCCTCTGATGTGCCTATGAAGAAACATACTTTACTGAAAAGGACATAGAGATACAGAATGTCTGACCAGTTTGAAACCAGGAATGATATAAGCACAAACTTCTAGCCCCTTCAAAATGGTGTTTAACATGCCTTCAAAGTGTCTGAGGATTATTTTTAACATTTGTCTTGATTTCCTTCATATTTGCAAAACACAGAGCCAACATCAACACAATCCTCCACTTGCACATTTTGATTTACCTTTGGTTCAATCATGTGACTGTAGAGCAAGGTCACTAAAATAGACACTGAAGCCAGCACAAAACTGAACAAAAGGCATGCTACCTAGGCTTGGTTATGTTTTTGTTTAGGTTTTTTTGTTTGTTTGTTTGTTTTCTTATTCTTTCAAAAAAAAAAAAAAAAAATCAGTTTCATGTAATTTATTTTTTTTCTCCTTGCTATATATGTTTTTTTTAAGGATGATATTGCAGGGTTACTTTCCTTTTAGCTGACAAATGAAGTTTTCTGTGGAGTCTCATGAGTCCCAGCCTCTATTCTAGAACTTTCTGTGATGTGGAGGCGGAGGCATTTCAGCTGGTTGGGGTTGCAGTATGGATGGAGAGGTATGCCCGTTAAGCAGCATGTGCAGGAAATTGGAGGCCGAGAGGAGGATGAAGGAGGGGGTCTGCCTCGGCCACTCTGGCTGTGTTGTGTTGGAGCAAGGATCCTGGGACGTTGAACAGAGGTCCCTGCTCAGGTTGGTCACCCCAGGGAGTGGACGTGTTCATCCTTTCTGTTCTCTATAGCGTTGGGATCCCGACAGGAGCACTCATCCCGTATGTCACAGGACATGGGGAATGGAATCACCTGGGTGGGAGAGAAAAAGATACTCTCATTCATAAAAGTACAATGGCTCATTGGCACAGCAATGCTTTAATATTCCAGTCAAGAGTTCAAGTTTCCAGAAACACCAAATATGTCATGCTGAAGTCCAAGGAAATATATAAAAATACGTTGTTGGTCAATGGCACCTAGAAAGAAATTAACTTTCTGATTGGACCCCCACTAGGATGACATTTCCGTTTCAAAAATTAAACCATTTTCTGATCTAACATCGCTTAAGGTTTGGCTAGATTTGAGCACAAAAACGACTGAAGCAATAGTTTGTTAAGGTTAGGGGACTTTTGTCATCATGGTCCCAATAATAACCATGTGGTTAAGTTTGGATTGTGGTGCTGATTTAAAAACACTGAATGTTTGAAATGGGTAAAGAACAGCAGCCACCCTTGTCGAATGTTTTACTGTCCATCCACCTGACTTCCTCCCTCCGTGGACTGTGTCGCTCTATAATGGCTCTAATATTCTTCCTTGGCTCCCATAATAATTATGGCTGCAAGAGGCCATTGTCTCATGGACATAAAAAATATGTTGTTAGGGCACTTGATGAAACGACTGATTCTATTGTCTCATAAAATCAATAATTTTTCCATATAATGTAATGGTGTTACCGTTACAAAGGTACTGTAGCAAGTAGAGGGCAAGTAGACAAGTCAAAGACAACTATAATCTGTGAGTCTCAGTTAGTTGTCTCAATGGAAGAAACTGCCATGTGAGCAAATTTGAAAAAACTATCAATTGTTACTGTTAATGTCACTATTTTATCTTGCTGTTGTACTATATTTGTAATATAATATTTCCAGATGACATACAAGTCAGCTAGCTTTCCTCATCTCTCTCTTGGTCAGATGCACCCACACACACGCACATACACATACACAAGCTAGCTTACTCAATTCTCTCTTCTCATAGTTGATGTAGACCAGATTGTTGCAAATATTAAACAGGTTTGAAATTAAATTGGCGTGGTTCTCATTAGACCATTTTGTAATGGGTACACAAACTCAGTGTACAAAGTGTACCTAAACTCAGAGCTAAACTGTCAACAGTCTCAACAGTTGAATTCTGTTGCAATCAGTTTAGAGCAAAAGAAGGAAAAACAATGCATGAGAGATGTGCAGTTGCAAGAAAATAATCGACACCTGCCAGCAAATTAGAAACGACAATTCTTGTCATGATATATATGTATGTGAAACTGTCATGCAGTATGATTTTTTTTCTTCTTCTTAAGTCTACTTGAAGTCCTTGCAGGAAATGTTTTGGTGCATTTGATGTTCATTAGACAATATATCACAATCTCAGAATATCAGAAACATTGATAAGCTAGTTTAGTTTGATGTCAAAGTGAAATACTGAAGGTGAAAATAGAACCGGAAGATCAGTGGCCATTGCCCCTGGCGTTTGACGTCACTGGATAACGTTGGTAATGCGTCACCAGCACCAGCTGCTGCTGCCTTGTCTGCTCGCCTCTCGGGGGGCCTGCTTCAGCTGTTTGGGTACACAAAATGTGTCCCCCTTCTCCGGGCCAAACAAGGAACACATGTGGTCCAAGTCATGGAAGGCAGGCAGCAGACCAAGGGCATGTCTGCATTTGTGTCCTGGTGGCTTATCAGATCAATCTATGGGTCTTGTGTGCAGTGTTGCTTTTTCTTGTTAGGGCTGTGTGGTATTGCCTTTTTTGCACAATGGATCTCCGTATACAATGTAAATGTAACAACAATACTGGCCACCGTCACCACCACAGATACTTAGTTGACAGCATGCCTAATGCCAAAGTCCGCTATTAGTTCAATGCTATTAGTGAAAGCCGTCTGGCTGCTATGGGAGGACTTGTTTTTTTAAGGGGAGGGTCATGGTGCTATTATCTGAATGTGGAGTAGTTGCTGTATAATTACCCAACTACTACTGTAATGCCATCAAACAAATTGCATCAAGAGCTAATACTATCTTGGAGGGCTAGTCAGGTAATTACTAAATGCATTAGCAAAGAATGAGAAAGAAATGAGAATTTCCCATCCACTAAAAAAAACATTCTTAACAATGGTGTCCATTATATGCTTTGGACTCTGAAGCTGACTCAGGGGGTGAGTCAGCGTCAAACTGACTAAACATATAAATCCAATTGCATCTTGTTATGGTAAAAATATTAATAGAAATCTTATTGTGAAGTTGTGACAGGTAGCTTATCTACTTCATTTTTTTTATCGGTTTTCACAGAAAAATACACACATTTCTTAAAAGGAGCAGATCCCTTTAAGCTGATTTTGATAGATTATTGTTCCTATGTGCCTAAAGGTTGTTCTGTTTCCCACAACAAGAAGATTCTAACCACCACTAAACAAGTTCCTCAGCCCAGATAATCTTCCAATAATACAGTCTTTTCTAAAAAACTAAAATTGTTTAAGGTAAGTAAAGTTTATTTGCACGGCACATTTCAACAACAAAGCAAGTTATACACATTGCTATGCTGCAAAGAGCATATATTTATTTATTTAAAATAAAAACTAAAATAATGAGCCCTACAATTAGTCTCACATTTTGTATCGGATATCAGTGTAAAATGTTATAGTTGGTGGTAAATGTAACACACCGGAAACACCACCAATGGTTTGCGAGAGTCAGTGATTTGTAGACAGCAGGTCTGAGGAATGACATGGAGGAGCATGCTAGTCACTGAGGAGCAGTGACGCAGGCTCCCCTTTGAAACTGAGTATAAAGTAAGTTGTGTGTGGGTGTTCCTAATGTGAGGGCCAGGTGGGCAGTGCCCGGACTCCTCTGAGAAAATGAGGCCTGCATGTGACGACTTTACAAGCCCAGGGCCGGACACACTTCAGAAACAGCTGTCAACCGCATGAGCAGTGTTTCCTCTGTGGTATTTTGAAGCCAAGAACACAGGGCTCCTCGCTCCTACCTGATTCTTTCTCAGGGTGAAAGTGTGAAACTGAGAGATACTATAATTAAACTGTCTCCTTTTAGAGTCTCTTCCTTACTTTACCTCGCCTTACTACTTCTCTCTCTTGCAGCACACATCCCCACTACCCCTCCCACTCCCCCTCTACACCTCACTTTCCCTCCAAGGCCACTGTTTATCTCTCTATCTAGAAAATGAAGGTGGGTGGCAAATTTGACATGGTTTCCTTTGACCTTGACCTCAAGGGTGGCTGGCCAGCTGCCACATCTGGCCCTGACTTGAGGTTCTTGCAGGGTGGCTGGGAAATGAGACTGGCTGGCCTTGTGGGCCTGGGGGCCCTAATGCTGCCCCATGTCCCAGGGCTAGAGGAGGGCTGGGGGTGGACACCCACTAACAGCAACATGAAAGCCCTTCTGAAGAACGCAGACCTTGTCAGAGCCCCATCCTTCCATCTCAGGAACAGGTCAAAATAACACAGAGTTCCTCTCATTTCTGTGTGTGCAGTATGTGCGTGTCAGCCTGTGCTTAAAGGGAAGAAGGTGTGTAAGGGGCACAGGCCTGAGGAAAGGGGTGCTGGCTGATGTAGGGACGAATAACACACTGTTCCTTAGCAAGTAACAGTTGTTATTAGAGTAAAAATATATATTAAGAAACATTTTATGGAATACAGTTCAACTTTGTTTTTTCTTAGGGTGTTTTTCATATCAATTTAGGAAGTTAGGGAGTAGTGAGCTGTGCTTTGACCAACTCATGCACCTACAGTCTCATGATTCCAAACAACATTGCATGACAGCACTGTCACTTGGTCCTGGCATATCGCAACAGTTAAATCAGTTAAATCAGGAACCAATCAAGCCAAGCCAGAACATCTGACAAACATCTAAAGTTTTTGAGGAAAAACATATATATACTGTATACTTCAAACTTGAACACATGTCTAAATGAGAGGGTCAGAAACAGAGCGTGAAGAGAGAGTTTTAATGGAGAAGATTAGGAAGGAGAAAGAGCAACTTCAGAGCAAAAGAACACATAACTGAGTTTGGCAAAATAAGTGCAAGCACTTGGCATCAGCTAACAGCCAAAACTCCTAAAAACTGTGGGGAGTGTGTGCCCCCCACCCTGGTGTGTAACTACCTTTGCTCAGCTGTGTAGAAAAGCCCTGCTCCTCCCTCCACAGTATCCTTCCATCCCCTCCCACTCAGATGCATTTTGGAATAAAGGAAACTATAGCATTCTACTGCTTATTTAATGATTATCCATAAGCATTGCATTGAAATGACTGGACAAAAAGAGAGAAAGAAGGTAAGAGAGCATCTCTTAATGCCATGACCAAAAAAAATCACCCTACTGCATGTATGGGTGCTTGGTCCTATCTGTGCCTCAGCCCCTTTCTCCCCTTTAACTGCCCTGGCAGAGCCTTGGCAACAGAAAATAAAGTCACCTTAGATGCCCTCAGACATTTAAAAAATAAAGAGCTGTTGATGGCATGCACTTTTGGCATTCAGCTATGTGGATATTTGATGTAGAACGTGTTAGGGCAGAAAATTCTCCATCTATCAGTCTGTAATAGCTCCAAAAGATGGTCTGAAGGAAAGTTTTTGTATGGATTATATAGGAATTTAAATTCAAATCTGGCAACAGCCAAAAAAACAAAAGAAGAAAATGGCATTTGAGATGTTATTTTGAAAGGGCTTTGTCTTTGTTAATCAACCAACTGAGACAGAGAGGTTAAGTGGTCAGCTGTGGCTATGGTGGCTATCACGGACCATCAGCTTAAACATAAACATCAGTCGTAACACATAGCAAGTCACGTAACGAGCATACTTGTGCCAGACTGAGAGTTGTAAACAGGGGTGAGGGACTGGGAGGGATTTCAGCACTTACCCAAGACCCCACCACCAACGCAGACAGAAAAACTTACAGGCACATTTAGAAAAAGTTGTTTTAGAGAGGCCAACTCATATAACTATATAATCGGTGCCCTCTGCGCACTGCTTCCAGCATCCAAGAAAGGAATTCCTTCCAAACTTGGGAGGGGGGACCTACAAAAGGGTCTTGC